AAAGAGCTACAAATATTTTTATTATATTAAACATTCTCGTAAATATTAAAGATTTCTGCAATAATAGTTATCACTGTTGAAATTAGAGGTAAGTATGGTTGAGCTGCATCTCTGATAGCTCCAATTACATCTAACGTGCTTTTAATAATGTCTAAGTCTATATTAATATTTAAGTCCGTATCAAATGTGCTCATATTTTCTGTATTAAAGATTTATCATTATCGTTATCATTATAGTAATAATTTTCAAGATATCTATATTTATCATTATAGTTATTACAAAGTGTTACAAGTAGATTGTTTCAGAATTTAGCATATCAATCGATATGTATCAGAAATGCGTCAAAAATTTTCTGCTACATCTGACCCAAAATTTGTATCTTTATGCATAAAATTTTTAGAATTATCATTATAACGATAGACTATTTAATCTCCTTTTTGTGACAAAGATTATATAAAGTGTACAGTATATCATATCTTAATATTTATAATATCCTTTAATTCTAGAATTATATAGGATCAAAATAAAGTTCTCATTAATATAATAGCGATTGATAGAAATTAGGAGATCTCTAATATATCAGATTGAATAGTCAAGTATTGGTATTTTGAAATGAGAGATGAGAAATTTTATTTACTTCTAAAGATATATTATTTAGTGCAGCTCATGTTTTTTTTATCGTTATCAAGTTCAATCATCAAGTGTGACATCGGCTATCATAGTAGCGCAGTAAATTATATGCTAATGCTAATGCTAAATGATGCTTTTAAAGCTTTAGCTATTGCATAATCAATATCATCTATACTTAGATTAAAAAATATTTGACGCATACAACTACTTAACCCGATCCATCAATTTTTTACCGCCTATAGCATTAAAAAGTAAAAATCTTTTTGGCTTTTTCTTTTTCAAAGATTAACCTCTGTAATTTTATCTTGATCGAGGATATGCTCTGTAATTTATCTTGATCAAGGATATGCTCTCTAATTTTATCATCAACTAAAGCATTAGATGTGTCCTCATTATGCGATTGTCTATAAAAATCATACCATAAATTATATCCTTTTCCAAAGTTATGATAGCAGCGAATTATATCTTGATTAGTTTTTTGATTATTATATTCAGCACTGTTGATCTTTTCTGAAACTTTATTCATTTTGAGAGTAACAAACTTCAAAGTAATAGTATTTTCTGAGGAAATTTGCTAAGTAAAAGCAGTAGTTAATTCATTGATTAATTTTTTCAACATAGGAGAGTTATCTCTATTTGTCACTTTCTTGACTTTTTTTACTTAACTCGCTTTTTACTACTAAGATTGTGAGAATTTTCAATTGGTATTTCTACTATATTATTTGTACCTTCCATTTCATCTAGAATTGCTTCTGAATTGATTTGAAACTGATCAAAGACTACAACCGAAAAAATGGAATTTATTTTCTTTTGTAAGTAAAACCTTTTTTTCAATGCATTTTCTATAATAAATACATCAGTAATATTAATATTTTGAACAATGTGTGACTGGTTAGACCAGACCAATTTAATTCGGTGGTTTACATTACCCTCCCTTTTGCTCCCCCTCTCTATTATAGTAAAATTTTTTTTAGATAAATAGCATAAGAAACGGGCTATTTCGAAAAATTTTTATATTGTACAGAACATTTCGGAAAAAGAATTTTTCGGAGAAAAATTTTTTGAAAATGTTATTATGTAAACCCCCACAAAACCTCCCTCTCTTTTGAAGTGAAGATGTAATGTAAGCCACTGAATTAAATTGGTCTGGCCTTACTTTTAAAATATTCAATACGAAATTTTGGAGTTTATTAAGTCTTTGCGTCAATCATTTTTTATATGGCAACTCAAAGTCACAGTTAACGTTACAAATCCAATTTCTAAATTCAATATTAATACATTGCAATTGCTGATTATTATTATGTTTTTAACTATAATTAACCGATAACTGCCTTTTCTTTGAAATATTTAACATTAAAAAAATGGTTTCGTATAAAGACCCTAAACTATTATTAAAGAATCACGACAATAAGAACATATTTTTGTTCTATTTACATAAACATTTCAAGCTTTCAAAATTCAAATGAAAAATTTTATCGAATTTAATAAATAAAAATATTCATATTTATTCAATAATTCTAAATATTTAATTAAAATATTAAATCAAAAACCAAAACAGTTGCGCATTTATAAAGCTAATTTTAACAGTGTTATATCGCACAAATTACAAATTTTTAAGATTTAGAGTTAGAGGATGCAAAATTGTGTATTAGAATTTATAAACCCAAAATCAAATTTCGTTAATATGTTTAATTATACAGTGAAAACTATTCAAATCTCATTGTAGTGCTCTCAAGCTCAAATAATCATCACTATAAATGGAGTGGTTTGAACTGACAAAATATACCCTGCTTTGTAATCAGATCTGTGTGGTAGGTCATTCATTCTAGTTGATTTAGAGAGATGTTTTCACAAAATCAATATACTAGCACTAGTTTTAATATTAATTTATGATTTTTACAACTTTTAAACTAGATTTTAATCTGGTAACAAGAATGTGGCTTTAGGTTACATTTAATAGTACTCAGTTTGATGATCATTATTGTTCACGTAACTATTCAGTAATTAAAATAATATGTAGTCAATTAGATGACAATACTTTTCATTGCCCTGATTAAATGAGGTTTACTGATAAATTATAAAATTTTAGTTAAAGACTCGACATCAATTAGATGTGATTATAGTCTACGTATTTATAGTATTGAGCAGTTATTTAATATTCCAATTCTGCAATGACAATATACAGTATTCATACAGTTGCAATTATAATTTTTAATTAAAGAGACTCGATATCATTTTATCCATTTAATCAATTAGATTGGTCATAGTCAAATTGAATTTATCAAATATAAATAATCACATTAGAATTCTTTATTTTGATGCTATCATGTGAAGACAAATTGTGTTAATGATTCTTTTTGAATTAATCTTTGAAAAGTTCATTTTCATTAGTTCAAAATATTAGTGGGATATCTCCTACTACTCGAAAAAGAAAGTATGCTCCTTTGAATATCATGGTTAAAAAGAATATTTTATTTATTTCGTATTAGTAGATTCAAATAAAAAAGGCATGAGGCTTTATTAATATCGACACTTAACTGACTAATAATGTGGCTTATTTTAGTATCCACTGATGCTGAAATATTATGACGTTATAATAATTGACTCGAAATTTCATGAACAACTTCGATCTAAGTTAATGATGATTCACCAGGATGGTCAGAATGTGAAGTTTGCTATGGAAATAAAAGGGAATTGTGTGAATATTGTGGTTGTTCTGTATGTAAATGGAAAGGCGACAGAGGTCACATCCTCATGTGTGATGGTTCTTGTGAAAAAAATTTTCATACCAAATGATTAAACCCTCCGCTCACAAGAATACTATAAGGAATGTGAAAGTGTGAATTCAAAGACATAGAAACATAAAGTGTAACTTGATTATTCAAGTTCAGATGAAATTGATAATCAAAGTGCAGAAAAAAAGTAACAAAAGATATAAGGCACAACAGGATACTTCAGATTCTGATGATGAGGCCAGTCAAAATTTTCAATGAAAAAGACTTCGAATCGTAACAAAAAAAATGGATAAATCAAATTGTAGATTCAATGAATAAGATTGAGATTGATGAACAATCTTTACAAGTATGAAAAGTTTTAATAAGGGATCTGTTTATCTTGGCTGTAGTAAAATATACTAATATACTGTAGTTTAGTTCTAGGCATGTAAGTTTTATACTTTTTATATTAGTATAATACTACGTCTAAAGCTAAATATTAGTTTATTTTTTTATTATCGGTTTTGTATACCAATTTCGGACATCTGGCCAATCAAATTCGGATATCTGACCAATCAAATTCAGACATTCTAGCAATCAAATTCGGATATTCTAGCAATCAAATTCAGATATTCTAGCAATCAAATTCGAACATCTCAGCAATCAAATTCGGACATCAATATCTTGTGATCTAGAAATCAGAATCACATGATCTTGGTACCATTTGATGCATCTTGACATGACGAGTCGAATAGTATCAAGATAATATGATTTGGACTACTAGATCACGAAATATTGCCATCTGAATTTGATTGCTAAGATGTTCGAATTTGATTGCTAGAATATCTGAATTTAATTGCTAGAATGCCAAATTTGATTGGTCAAATGTTCGAATTTGATTGGCCAGATGTTCGAAATTGGTATACAAAACCGATAATATAATACTGTATGAACATTATAATAATAATCTTTAATTTAATGGTAATCTAAAATTTGATCAGATAAAAATATAAAAATATATATATAATGTAAATATATTAACTTGATCTATATCTAATATTAATGGAATTCAAAAATCTAGCAGAGTAAACAGAATAAAATAAAAAATTATACCAACATTAAAATTAATGGAGACCCAATAATTATCCAACATAATATACCCAAAATTAAAATTTTTGGAGAAATATTTGATAAGTGGATTGAATTTTCGTGTTCTTTTCTAGTACCTACTGAAATTGATGAGATGATTTCGAAAGTCAAATTAAACCTATTTGGAAAAAAATCTTAAATAACGAAAATGATTATCAATATTCAAGGGTCTTATACATCCATACTCTTTGTAAATTGGTGCATATATCATTTAAACTGATGAAAAGAATAAAAGAACTAAAGAAATCTGATCAACTTTTTATCCCCGGCTTTATTACGGTAATTGGTCACGAGACTGAATTAAATAAAATTAAAATATTAGTAGAATCATCCACAATTTACCATAAAAGTAAACCAGCAATAATCAAGAATATAATAGTTACAGCCAGATGCTTATTGATACTTGTTCAAAGAATGGGTTAGCAAATAATTTATAATAGTGAAACGATTGACCTACTTTAATATTAACCTATATCAATTTTATTATTTTATGTAGAACAAACAACAAACTATAATCATCCAAGCTTAATATTGTCATAAACCACTTTGTTTTTAATGTCTTCTACATAATAAGCAACTTATTCAAGTTAACCCTAAATATCCAAGATATAAGCCTAATAATATTAAGCCATCACTCCATTATGAACACCTACGAAAAAATAGTAGTTGGCCAAATCAAGAAGGAAATGTAATGTTGAATTCAAAATTGTATATAATAAAATATTAGAACAATGGTCCTTTATTTGGGTTTATGACAAGGATATTTGTGAAAACCAAGCAGATTATATTCATGTAGTAGCCATAGATTCTGGAGTCTGCACTTTCCTTACTTGGCAATAACATTAATCGAATTTTTTGCTTAGGACTTGTTCTTGATGATCTTATTTCACATACCGCTAGAGCATCAGCAAAAAAACGCAACTCTATGAAATATGCTCAAGCTCGTTTAAGAAAAAATAATTCAAAACTTGATAGATGAGATACACAAAAAAGCTGCATTATAGTTAGCTCGTACTTTTGATGTAATTGTATTACCAATATTTGATACTCGGATGTCTCGTCAACAAGAAAGAAAAATTAACAGTAAAATAGTACGAAAGATGATGAGTTGGGCACATTCTAGGTTTAGAAAAAGACTGATTTCTAAAATGAGAGAATTTCGCAAAATTATATTAACATCTGTTTCGAAGGCATATACAAGTAAAACATGCAGCAAATATGGTTATATTAAAAAGAATTTAGGAGAATAAGTGTTTACTGTAGATGTAATAGTTGTGGGCTTCAAATAATAGGATTTAAATAATGCTCGAGGGATTTTTCTTCGGGCTTTGCTTGATGGGGCCATAGGTATGTAAACATAATTATGCTAATTGATTAATTATAACTGAGTCATTTAGTTATAATTTTAGATAACTCGCTAGCCAGTGCTTAATTAACATCTAATTTAGCTGCAGCTATTATTTTTACTTAAGAAGTTCACTATTAATGTTAAAGTGTACCAAGTAAAAACCTGTTATGGCAATCTTATCATCTTCACAGAGTTCACAATTTAAACTCTTTAATCTGTCTATTGCTATCGTTATTGTTTTTGTTTTACAGATTTTTTACTGATATTATTTGATCTGCTTTTTCAAAAAAATCAAATCATTTAGCAAATGAAATACGAAAAAATAATTGAAGCTTAGAAAATGAAGATGAAATTCTTAAAAGTTCGATTAATCATATTTGGGAAGTAACTAAAGGACAAATTTCTCATATTACTTTCAATGACAAACTCTTGGCAACAATTGTCTTAAATGATGGCATGAGTTTTACAAAAAAAATTAAATAAAACTACAACAGTTATTGTCACTGAGGAAACTTTTAGAAAAATAATCAGCAAACAGGCCAATTCCAATGAAAATGAGCCTGCTGTAATCGACAAAGTAAGTATTGATATATAGGTCTTAATCAGTTAACATTCCAAACGTTCACAAATTGAAAAACTAGGAAGATGTATTATCCTCGCAAGTCAAAACTACAAAGATGACTAAACAGGCTAAAGATAGTCAGATAAACAAGATTTTTAAAATCGCAAAAGACAAAAACAAAGTAAGAAAAATTTTGAATATTAATTTACCCTAGTCGTAATACATTTATTTTTTTTTTATTTAATAAAATTATTAGCATTTTATTTAATATTATTTCATTTTATTTAACTGTATTATTATTATTATTTTTTAACAAGTTGTTATTCATAAAAGTGTTCACGTAGATAATAACAAAGATAATGAAGATAACGAGGAAATGAATGAATCAATAACTGTTGAACCATCTCAATAAACATTATTTCCAGAATGCTTGAACAAGTCACCCTGACAAAAAATAATACACGTACCCAAGATAATGAAGATAGTAACCAAGTAAGAGTTTTCATAAAGATTTGGTGGCAGAAGTTTAGAATCCAATTTCAGTATGGATTTAGTTGTCAAATCACAAAACCTTTGTATTTAGTCTTTTAAAAAGCTTCTTTTAAACATTTTTGCAACAAAATTAATAACAACTACAAACAATTAATATTGATAATATATAAAATCCCTAAACTTAACAGGAAAACAATGAAAATTCAGAAGAATGGCCAGAATGTGATAATTGCTATGGACAAAATAAAGAGTTTTGTGCAAATGGAAAGATAATAGAGATATTCTTCCCTCATGTAGTGGTAAATGCGGTAAAAATTTTCACGCAAGTTGTCTAATACCCCTACTAAAACATACACCCAATAGAGGCTAGTACTGTAATGAGTGCGAAGCTAGAAGTTTAAATAATAAACACAAAAGGCGAACAGTTGGAAATTTAAATAATGAACACAAGAAACGAGCAATTAGAAATTTAGATAATAAACACAAGATTCAAATTGAGGATTTAATTCAAGATGTTGGCAACAAATTCTAAAAAAAGGAAATCGAAACATGACAAAAAATATAAGGCTCGACTAAACACATCGAAAAGAAATCAATCCATAAAAAAATTTGCAAAAAAAAAGAAATTTAATCATGATGTGAGAAGTAAGACAAAGAAAAGTATATTATTTATATTTATTATTATTATTAATTTTTTTTTTTAAAAGCGAGGTCTTGCCTCAGTTTTCTTTATTGAATTTGATATATGAGTACATTACATAACTATATAACATAATAATATATACTATCTACAAAAACTGAAACTAGGGCTACTTTACCCTTAACCCAAACTTTGCCAAGAGGGGCCAAAGGCCTTAATTAGTCCAGGTGTATTGCTATTATGCTAAGAGATGCATTATGGTTTATAAAGTCTTTTGACCAATTGTTAACTTTCTTTTGTACTTTTGGGCTAGTGCAGGTGATGATCATATGATTGTTTATATTTGGGGTTACTATTGCCGGGTTTGGTAAATTATTTTGGTTGTTGTTATTTACCGTTGTTGTATTTCTAGATTCTGTATTTGTGGAGTTCGGGTTTCTGGATACTGTCTGACACCGGCTAGTCCAGATTTTCTCATGTATAGCTTGGCTGATTTTGTGTAGTTTGTTTCTGCAGATTTGTGATCTTTTGTGTTTTTGACTAGTTTGTTTATTGTTTTGCTTTGTCGACAGGTAGTTATGCCTTGTAGTGCATAAAGAAAATGTATATTGCAAATTTGTATATAGGCATCGAAGCACATCAACTACAATAAATCGAAAGCCAGGTTAATAATTTCTAAGATTTATTTAACTAAACATCTGC